ATTGCTTTACTGAGTCATATGTTACCATACATTATAATTTGTTTCTTCTATTCATGCTGTATTTTTCCCTTAAATGCAATCCCTTCTAAGAACAACACATTCCTCTGAAATCTCTTAGATGATTTAACAAATCGTTCTTTGCAGATAACTTTACCCATGTCCAGACATCTTATCTGTTATCATTAATAGCTTTTTGGCTTTGACATGATAAATCACCAGTTTGTGTTAAATAGACTTGGTTTTAAGTTGGGATTCAGCCTCCCTAGCAAAGTCAGGAATACATTGTCTTTCTTTCTACCACCCTTCTCTTATAATCTTTAAGATTATAGTTATACATCCTTTTTCTCCCTTTGCAATTCCAAAGTACTAAGGTCTTGGCCATGTGTCTTTACTCTGTATGCTTGATTTTATTGGGTAAGATTGAAAGGAACATAATCTTGGATGAGATTGTGGTGAAACAAAAACAACCTTCCCCAACACCCCACAAAAGAAAACCCTTATGGTTTTATTGTTCTATCAAGGATTTACTGTCAAATTCCTTTTCAGCAATTCCAGACATCATGATTAAAAAATGGTTGTGGGGTCAGAAAAATGTCCCATTGTTGTTTAGATACAATTGCTAACTCTAAATGTTCTCTGATAAGAATCCCAAGAGGACTCTCTGAAGGAGTGATGCTGGGATCTCTGTTACAGCATTGTGGCTCTGAGAGGGGCAGTCCCACACAGTAGCTGAATCTCATCCTACCAGCCCAGAGAGTAAGTGGGGCTCATTTCCTAGCAGGCTGTGTTATGACTAAGCAAAAAGGTCAATAAATAATCAGGACACCCTCACAGAATATTGTACTAATGCTCTTCCCTGACTGACCACTGCTTCTACTGATTTTAACAACTTCAGTGTTGCAGGGTGGGATTTATTCACTCTGACTTCACCCATCAGCAATGAAAATTACCCACCTAACATGTTTGGACATCTATTTTAGAACAAGATGGCTCAAATAATAGAATCCTCAAAGGGTTTGGGTTGGAAAGGACCTTAAAGATGATCTAGTTCCAACCCCCCTGCATGGGCAGGGACATTTAATGGCACCACATTTTTAACAAAAAAGATGATCTAGTTCCAACCCCCCTGCATGGGGGTTACTCTACTGTAACATACATCATTATTTTGATGCAGTAGGAGGATATTTTGAGGGCTATTTCCAAAACTAGGCTGTAGACAACAAAAATTTAGATGCATTAACACCTTGCTTTTATACATCTGACTCCTTCAGAGAAGCATACAGGACCAGACTGGTGTCTAAGACAGTGTACATTGTGCCAACCTCATGTCAATGCTTATCATAAATCCATAACAGTAATGCTCCAGTTTTCAGCTGCCTGAATCTAACAACTTCTGGCAGCAAGGGTGAGCTGTAATTTCCCCTTCCCATCCACAGTGCTGAGCCCACTCTGTATGGGACACCCCCCACTCTTCTTCAAAGAGGAGACCATTCCTTCTAATGGCAAGGAGGAGGAGGAAGATATAATTCTCTCTGCTTTTTGCCCTTCTACTCCCATTTTTTTATGTAGTGATAATCAAGAATCCAGCTACCATCCCATGGCATTCAGTGGTGGGTGATTCAGGCTCAGCTCCCGTGATAATCAAGAATCCAGCTACCATCCCATGATCTGGGTGATTCAGGCTCAGCTCCGATGATTTCAAGCCCCTAGTAAGATATGCAGAGACAAAAACTCTTGAAGGAGGAACCAGAAGCCAGTGTTTCTCCTTCCAGTTAGTACAGCTGGGTCATGGAGTCATGCTTTTTCTCTGGTCCAACAAAGTTTGAATTCTTCTGGCACAGTTTCTGAGGTTCAGTAGAGAAAAGAGGAAGTGCCAGAACTGTCTGGTAGCTAGATGACTTTCCTGGGAGACACGTGAATTTCTGAAAGCAGCTCTCACTGCTCAGCCTAATGCTCTGAGTGCTAAGGAAATAGTGGGGATGGGACAGAAACTCTTTGTCTGAATATGTTTTAAAAGAAAGTCGTTGCTGCAAATCAATTTTACCCAAACCCAATCCTGTCAGTATAAGTCACTGGCAAAGGTCCCTGTGCAAGCAAAGCTTTTAATACATTTATAAGTAACAGCTGATGGCTCTGTCAAGATGGGAGCAGCCTAGGTGTGCTTTGAGACAGTCACAGGCCCCTGACCTTGAGGGGTCTTAAAGTTGAAGAGCATGGCATGTGGTTTTCTCTTAAGAGCAGCTGTCTGAAGATGTTTAAAGCTGCTCCTAAAAGTAGGGATACAGCAGGACTGGTGAAAACAGCTAGTCCCCAAAGCACAGCAGTGAGGCTACCAGTATATTGTGGAAAACCTCAGCAGAACCCTATGGGTGTCGTCAGATACCATCATACCTTTAAAAAAATCTGCTCTCTGATGCTCTTTACTTTCTTCTGTCAGGGAGCTGTCTGGGCCAGGACCATGTGGGGCCCCCTGGGGTGTCAGGGCAGGGCCTGACAGCCAGGACCCATCCCACTACCCCAGCCAGGGGCAGGGCAGCTGGGGAGCACTGGCTCAGCCCCAGCCTCCAGAATTGGGCACCTGCCTGGGGATGGGGGTGGGTTGAGGCCAGGCCAGGACATGGGCCCATGGGTGGGCCCAGCTCAGTGGGACCCCATGGCCAAGCAGGGCAGGTCTGTGAGGAGCTGGAGACGAGCCTTGCTGCTGCAAGGTCAGTGGATGACGGCTCCAGGTGGCTGATATGTGCTGTTGGGCTGTGGGCATTTGTGGGGAGCCCCAGGGGGCTGTGCAGGAACAGCCAGGGCTGTCAGTGCCTCAGGGTCCCAATGCTTGTAAGCAGTGTTCAATCCAGAGGCAGGGATGCTGTATATTGCTGCTGCTGCCACTACTGCTGCATTAGCAGCCATGCCCTCTGTTGGCCACCCAGGCTGGGGAGCTCACTGCTCGCCTTAGCTGCTGCTGGTGGAGTTTCACCCAAATGACTTCTGTGTATGTCTTTTCTCCACATGGGCTTGGATTTCACCCTTGATGCAAATTTGCAAAACACTTGTCACTAAATCCAACCCCTGTATGCAAACCAAGCAGCATTTGAGCCTGAGAGTGACCATCTCACTGCCAGGATATTGATTTAAAGGTCCCTGAAGAGAAATGCAGCTTTCCTAGTTGAATGAAAGTTGGTCTTTGTGCTCTTCACAAAGGGAACAAACCCCTGACCATATATACCATATCGAGTGTCAAACTGTCCTGTGACACTGGTAATGAAAACACCCTGTCCCACAAGCTGCCTGGGGGCGTGTGGTTCCCTGGACCAGTAGGGCCACCACAAGATTGTTTGCAGCTGTTTGGGGTGACACTGCTACGGTTGTTGTAACACCCATGTGGACACGCTGCACGAGGAACTTGGAGTCTCAACATGACTTAAATGCTATCTCCAGACAAAATAAACTCCTCAGAAACGTAAACAAAGAGATTTATTGCAAATAAAAATTCACATTCACATCATTAAATCTTAAGAAGTATAAGGAGGTCATTTTGAAAGTTGTGAAGCATCCATGTGCACAAGGGCTGCTGTTTCCATCAGAACAGCTGCCTGGGACATGCATGTATTTATCTGAATGTGCCAAGCCAAATATCTCTCTATCTACAAAGGTTTTGATTTGGCTGGTGACATCGTTCTGACACTTCCACAGTTTCATTTTCTCTGGATCTGGCAGTAGAGGCTCATAGAAAACACCAAACCAAGTATCTGGAAAACAAAGACATTTCTGGTATTACTTGGCAGTCCTGAAAATCCCGGGACACAACTGATACACAGTGGGAACATTTTGTTTGCAAACGTCTTGGGTTTACATGCAGAGGCTAAACCTGCTATGCAGGTCTTTTCCAATGTATTTCTTAAAGACTATGAATAACTCTATAATAAAATTTAATGAAATCAGTATGTACCACAGGTAAGACTGCAGACATGATGGAAAGCTTCCATTTGCTTAAAAGATGGATCGCTCTGTGGATGGGAAAGCCCCATGACTCTGGGAATTTAAGATGCAGTTGTTAGCTGCAACGAAACAGCAAATGCTGAGAAGTTGAAGAAATGCAGACAAATTTCAATCTTTAATTTTAAAAGAAAAATTAGATTCATTAAATGAAATCTGATTTCATTGCGTATTTTAAGAGTTGTTTTCCTTTGAAATCTCTCTTCCACTGTCACTCTCTTTTATATAAATATATGTGTAAAGGCATACATGTCTATATGTGTAGTGGCATACAACTACACACATACCCAAACGGCAAATGATGTTGCAAGAAATATTTTATATGCAACAGTGACAGATTTGGGATAGAAACACTGGGTCCACTGAAAACACTGCTGCTTGACATACAAAATTCAGTTGGGTCACCTTCTGTAGCAGAAATTACTGGGTGAAATTCTACAGCCTGACAGGCAGCTGGCAAGATCAGGAGATCAGAAAGCTTCCTTCTGGATTTAAAATTAACCAGTCTGTGAAAGTGTTTCACAGAAGTGAAAATTGTCCAATTGACACTTAAGAAGCCATGAACACCAGGACTCTACATTTACTTAAGAGACAGCTGAGAGAATACAGGAGTATAGCTAGGACAAGGGGATGGACTTACAGCTGGAATAAGTCATCAGGGCTTCCCTGACATATCATGCCTCCATCTTCATTTGCACTCATATGAAGCTGGGCTCTTCATCTCAGTGTCGTTTCCACTAATAGGTTGAGCTGAAAGCATTACCAGCCCACAAGTGGCATAATGGAGCAGGCACAGGGGGGAATGCTAGGGAAGAGCACTTTTCTTTGTCCCCTTCTTTTTATCTTGGGTTTTCCAGACCAGAGAAATGGTTAAGCATGTGGCCCTTGATTTGTAATTACTTGAGATGTCATCATATGTTAATATCTTTGGAAAAGCTAAATATTTATCAAGTGTAAATTGCCAGTTGACAATTTGTACCAGCTGAAGCTCATATTGTTTATGCATGTTGTTTTCTAACCCTCTTATAATTGGAAAAGGCAGCAACCACAGAAAATGCTAACTGGAGAACAGGAAAGAATGATGGCTGATGAGCTAAAGGCTACTCCACCAACTGCAGTAACAAGAGCCAAGTGACTTACATCTTACCTTTGGGATACAGGTGCCATTTTACATTTCTCCTATATTTTAAAGGCCTTTTAATATTGGTATATTTCACCTATTTTCCCCCCAAAGTCTACATGCAGGTCAGAGACCTGACCCACTCATATAGCTCCTTATATAACATGAAGCCTGGGCTGAATAAGAAGTTAGCAGCCTGTCCTCTCCCAGTGCTGCAGCCTGCGTAAGTCTTCCCCACTTACAATTATTTTCCTGGAAATGTATTTTTGACTTGGGGCTCTTGCCCACTCTTCTACCACGAGGAGCTATCCTCTGCCAATGATGTTAAGAAGTTTTCATTTGGAATAACAAACTGAACTCTGCACAGCAATCTTCATCATTTCTGCTTTTCCCTCAAACATCCATCAGCACAGGGTGGGGGAGGAGGAAAACCACAGAGGAACAGTGAAAAGAAAGAAAAGGACCAAAGAAAGCAACATGATGAAATCCCCTGTCACTTTGTCATTTTCCCCTAATCAAAACCTATCATTCATCAAGTAGCTAACTGGATAACCTCGTTGTTTTTCCTTGTCTCTTTGGAGAAAATTTTACATGTTATTCTTTAGTTTATGATAAAGCAATTAAAAGAGCTAACATACTCTGCTTTTTTTACACTCAGAGTTATATGGAGCAGCACAGGTGTGGTCTCAGGCACATCCACACACTATCTTGATAGCTAAATTATGCCCTTGGAATAATAGTTTTGTGTCATAATTTCTCCAGGATATAAGAATATTAATTTTAGGGACTAAGTTTTCTGATTGGCTTATTTTTTCCTCAAGCAAATGAGAGAAAGAGGAGGAAAAGACCAGCTCTTCTGCCTCATGTCTTCCTGGGGCTGCGTAGCTGCACACCCCTCTGCCCACAGGGCTTGGTCTCAAGGCACAGCCTGGCTCCAGGACGGTCCAATCTTTGCAGAAAAAGTGCTACGTACTTATGCAGGCAGCAGGGTGGTCTGATCCCACCTGAAGTTTGCAGCTCAGCAGCCATGTACTGTTTATACAAAATAACAGTCAGATTACAGCTAAGGTGAGAGGTAGTTTTCCCTTGTCTATGAATTGAGCAAGCCAGGTGTTTTAATCCCTTTCCCAGTATATTTCTAGGTAGAACATATTGCTTGTCAGCTACTAAATATTTTAATGGTGTACACTGGTACCTCAATAACTGCCAGTCCAAAGGCAATCCCCATAACAATGAGCAGATGGTCTTTAAGGTATTTCACGATCACTTTTCCACAAGGCTGAAAAATGAGAAAAAAATATTAATCATGGTTAAGCAATAGTATCCTAAGGTTATTAGGAACGTATCCTCTAAAATAACTCCTCTCACTCTTCCCTCTCAGTGTTTTTTAAAGAAAGGCTGTTTTAATTTATTTTGGCTTGTTGTTAACAAAGAACACAACTATCCATACTTTGTGCTCTGAGAAAGTTATCCAGTTTTTGCCTTCCCAAATATGAAGATGAATTTCATAGCTGACCATAAAATGGTACAATTTGAAATGAAGACATGCAACTGTAATGCCTAAAGTTTGCATGGCTTCATGATTTTCACTTGACAAGGAAAGAAACCTTTTTTCTTACTTTCACTTGATAATCATACACTGCTAAGAAAAAGCCACTGCAGCAATGACCAGATCTGAAAAAGAATTTCAGTTTCCCACTAATCTGATATTTGAATTTGAAGCTTCAAGTAATAATATTTGGGTATAAAACCTAAATACTAATTTTGACAATGTTTGGTGGCCTTTGGCTGAGGCTGGGAGAGAGACAGTGATCGTATCTGAAGTCCTGTGCAGAGCTACTCTGCTTTTTAATAAATGCTCACATCTGTTCTTATAATGTCTACATCTTCTACAGGCACTGACAATACTCCTTTTGCAAGCTGTAGGTTTTTTTTTGCTTAAATCCATCAAAACTATGGTACTGTTCCAACACTACAATTGCCTTCCCCCCAAATATAGCCATATTCTTACACCAGTATTTCCTCCCTCACAATAAATGTATGGATCTTCTCCTTCTAAAAAACCTCTCATTTAAGCTGACTCAGAACAGAACTGAATTTCAAATCTTTTTTTCCTGGATCACAACATTGAATGTATTTTCTAGCATTGAACACCACCATGAAAGCTGTGTGTTCACGTGACAGAGATCTTGCACCTGCAGTCATTTCACTGATGATTTCTCATGTGTCCTTTGAGGGTTTGCCTGAGGCCAAAAAGACATTAAAATGTGGCCAAAAAAGCCTTTTTGTATACATGTTATTTCCAGGTTGGGTTCTGGCATCCTCTACTTAACCAGACTATTCCCTTTCTTTAAACAGTATTTGCTTCTGTGGGGCTACACAGGGAGGAAATTAGTGTTCAGGCAGTATCTGGCTAAGGACTTGTGCACTTAAAAAAGTATTTAACCAGAATGAACTTTTGCTAAAATGTGCTTGAGGTAGGTGCAGATTGGCAAACTTCATACCGCTAGTATTCTAAAAATGCAGCTATTTTGTGCAACCTTTTCTTTTTCTTTTCTTTTTTTTTTAATATGCATGGAATCCAAATCTCCATATAAGGAGACAGATAAATCTTGAAATTTATTAACTGAGATTTCTGCTGTCCACCTACCAATTTCTGAATATGCTTTCTTATCATCTGTCACCAAATATTTTTGCCATATAAAATGCCACAAGCTTTTCAGAAGGCTGTAGTTGTAGCAAATTATACTTTGAGTATGCTGCCATGAAGCCTACAACATATAAGGTTTCTTTCCTACAGATCCTGCAAAATGAGTTTGGGGCTTTTTGTCAAAGGACTATAAAACCCTAAGGGTCTTGTACTTAATATGTTAATTTTTCAATACGCCTTAATGTTTCAAAAGCTTCTGATTCAACATGTCTAGCACCAGAATGAGCCTGGGTGGGGGCATTACCTTCTGAAGGAGGAATAAGAACCAAACAATAGCTGATGTGCTGCTCTGACCCAGAGGCATACCCTTTTTTTGGAAAAAGAACTGCTGTCTATGCCTGCCACTAAAGACAACCTTGGGTTAAAAATCTCCTTCTGGAGAGAAGTTTAGAACGTTATATTTTTCTTACCCTTGAATAAATGTATCTGCCTTGGTAGGAGATGCAGAGGTCTGTTGATGGGTTTTTTAGTTCACACTCACAGATTTTATTACCATTAAGAAGAGTATTGAAATTTTTTCCCCAGTCTGCATATCCATTCACCAAACCACAGCACTTGTTCTGCAAAAAGGGAAGAAATTGGGAGATGAGGCTAGAAGTGGTGATTTGCAGTTTGAGTTGAGTAGGGAAGGGAGAAGAGAGGAACAACAAAGGAATGTCAAGCATCCTTTACATTTCCATTCCAATTATAAGAATTTAGGAACAAAAGTTGTGCTTGGTTTTTTTGTTTGTGTTTGGGGTTTTTTGTTTTGTTTGTTTGTTTTGTGTTTTTTTAAAAAGGAAAAAAGACCGGATTTTCAGTATACACTGTTCAAAAACCGTTAACATACTATAGAGTCAGCAACTGTCGGTGCCAGAATGAAACTGGAACATAGGAGTTTGGAGAATTAAGTCTTCTGTCTGCAGGTTATACTTGGAAAAGGTTAGCAACAGCTCCAGTAACATCCACATTTCATCTATTGAAAAGCCAGGCTGAAAGTATAAAATTCAGGCACATAAAATCCTAAAATCTAGAAAAATAATCACCCTGAATGATGGTTAGCCCTTTAAATTAGAATTAGACTAAAGAGGCCAGGGCTGCATTTGGGGTTTGTGAAGCCTAAAGCAGGTGCAGTATCACTTCATGTTCCACTTTATTCAAGCCACTAAAGCTCAGGGGTGCAGATTTGGGTTTGAGGTTCTCTCTCTTTTAAGAAGCACCTGGAAATTTTCACATAATTTTGTATAAAAACAAAGGCCATGTGACATAATATTAATACAGTAATTATAGGATTTTTATTTTGCTCACCCTTCAATCATTTCTCCAGGGACCTGCTTATTGTTTTAGAAGAAACTAGCTGGCTCAGAAACAGTGGAGAGGGCTGGAAGTGGAATGGGGTAGGAGAAGCAGAAGTAATATAAGCCACCCAAATGTGGTTTCTTGCTTCCTTTTCTTTCACACCAGCAGCCTTTAAAATCAGAGGTACTCTTTAAGCCTACCCATCAAAGTCACCACCCATTAGGGAGTTAAAAAAAAACCAACAGCCAAACAACAGGCACTCTGTGACTGTATAGACACAGGTACTAGTGGGAGGGGCAGGGGTCTACACTCTCAATGATCTCAGTGACATTCAAAGGTATGTTCTGTCTGATGCCCAGGAGCAAGCTGGCACTAAGTATCCACCTTCTGGGCTCCCACAGGTGGGAGAAGTCAAGATAGGTATAAGCATAGAGAAAACAAACCTGTTTTATCATATTTTCTCACACTACATGTAATAACTTCATAGCAATAAGATATTCCAAATTAAGTATACTCCTGAAGTTTTCCTTATCCCTTTAGCACCCTTGCCTGAAGGGTACTGGATAGTTCTTAGCTGGGATCCAGTGAAGCAGCAATGGCCATTCAGAAGGAAAGTGGTAAGAAAGGGTAAGCTGACTGTCAGTCTCACTGGCATGGTATGAGTCCTCGCTTCATTGCTCTTACAAGCACTGTTGCTCAAAGAAATCAGCACAGAAAGCCCACGTCATAAAAAAAGAGCAGGAGCCCCTCGTGTAGTGGTTTGACTTACATTTAAGACCCTTCCCCAACCCCAGAGAGTGAAATTCAAATCTGTGGCAGAGTAGCCATAAAATGAAGAACACACAAACACTGGAGACGGAACAGATAGCAACAACCCCTGCCTTACCATTGTCTCAAAATTCTGGAACTTCTCTTGAAACACTCTGTCTTTTTCTTCAGAACTTTTCAATGATTTCATATTCTCCTCGATTGTCGCATTAAGGGATGTTTCAATCTGCAAGTCCAAATAATTTATCAGTTTTTACAGTGGGAAAAAAGCTCTGGGAAGACCTCAGTAAAAATGCAGAATAACACTGTACCTGAGAACTGTACACTGCTCCTAAAATACCTCCTGTGACCTGAAGGATCAGAATCAGAAGCAGTCCAATAAAAAACTAGGAAGAAAACAAAAAAGGGAGAAAACTTTTGAACAGGATAATATAATATTTTTAAATGAATGCTAAGCTTTCATGTGCTTAAATAGACATGTAGGTAGAATGAACAGAAGCTCCTGTCACAGCTGCTGCAGTTATTCTTTCTTTGGCAATGAGAAAAGGGGGTACTTGAGACAGAGTGTGCTTGGCTGGTGATCAAAATGAGGTGTACACCAGAGTAGTGGCACAATGGGCAGTGGGTAGGTGAGAGGTGTTGGGCAGGAAGACAGGGAAGATAGAAGCAGCAATAGGAGCAACTGGGAAATTATGAAATTAAATGGGATGGGTAATGAGGGAGGACTGGGGGAAGGATCTTTGGTGATGGCTGGATAGGAAAAAAGCTTGTGACATGCTCAGGGATGTCTGGATCCTTGTTGATGAGAAGACCCATTGTTTTTTCTGCACTAAAATTCAGGAAGGGTGCTAGCATAAGGTAAGCAATGAAAACACATTATCATAATCAAGCATTTGATTAAACAAAAAGGCTCCCATCCTCATTTGATACTATTTGCAAGGACGTTATCTGTCAAATGTAGCTGTGCCCTGTTAAAGGTAGCCAATTATTTTTCTTTCCTACCAAGAGCAGCATGCACCGACTCTCCTTTATGGCACCACAGCACCCCAGAAACCCAAGGACCATAATGATGGAGCCCACAGCTATCAGCAGATCCACCCCCACGAACACATTGCTGTTTATACCCAGCTCCTGAAAAGAGAGGAAAAAAACTTTCAGCTCCAAGAAGCTTCTCCTAAAAACATCTGTATCCCCCCAAACAATAACATTATTTCATAACTGATAAACATACTGATTAAAAACCCTGGAGAAATTCTGAATCATAAATAAACAAACCTCTGATTCCCCCTTCCTACACATTTTGTTGGGGAGCTTGGTAGAACCTGGCTTTTCACAGGTGCTGTCTCTTCACAAGATTAAATTCAACTTCACAGATTCAATAAAGACCTCTTGTCTTTAAAGTGGCTTTCAGTTAATTTTCAGTCAATGAATCTTTGTTTTTTACTAGAAGTAACAAAATTTATTATCTTGAAATCACTCTTACATTAACCAAATATTAAAGAAACAAAACCTCTGTTTGTCATTAGAAGGCCAGGGCCAAACTCTGTGGCTGTTCCCGACAGAACACTTCTCAGAGTAATGTTGGATATAATTAAGCAGCTTCCTTATCCTTTTCATTTTCCTTTTCCTTTTTCACATGATCTCTAATATTACCCTCAGAGATTAGGATGGCATTTGGATGTGTGGGACATTCAACTAAACAATTCATATACCTCAGTATTATTAAATATCAAATTACTCAGTTCCCAGAGGACTGACTAAGGCAAAGGCCAAAATAGAGAAATATGTTCAAAGAATATTTTCCAATGTGGCTGGTGCCAAGATTAGTAAAAATATCTGGAAGTTGTCACATTTATCTTCTGATGGAAATTGCAAAGGTATATAGACAAGTATAATTTGAAGAATGTGTTGTTCTTTCCCCTTCCAAGTTGGACTGAACCTCCTGTTATTTATTCTTAGAAAGCTCTATTCATCTACAGCCAAAACCTTATGCTCTGTTCTGTTATTACCCAGGCAAGACATACATTGTTTTTGAACAGAAACTTTGGCAGCATAGAGGCAAAAATGCCAGAAAATGCTTTCAGGTTTTTTCCCTACTTTTATTTGAAAGGTTTTGGGGGAATACAAAGTGTCACTTCAAGAAATGAGTTTGGGGCACACTGAAGTATGCTTTTCTGAATAGGAAATCACTAAAAATTTAAGAAAATATAATAGTGGTTATGGTTTTCCAAGCTCCCTTGTACTGTCTTAGCCGTCATACTGGAGGCAGTCAACTAGCAAGTATAGAGATTTTAGCTGGTTCTAAAATGTTGACTGAGGAGTGAAAGTTGTCTTTCTTCCACAGTAGAAACAGCAGAGCTCTCCACCGTGACCTAATTTATCCCATGGCACAACATCATCATGAACTGAGTTCTCATACATCTCCTCTGTCAGACTTGAGACATCTGGGGCTGGCCAAGGGCAACAGCATCATCAGCCACGTGGCAGGAAATATAAAAAGCTATCATCTCCACTATCTTTTTATTTCCAGATTAAAACATACTGACTTAAAATTTATTGTTCCTAACTAACCAACTGCAGTAAAGAAGTAGTGGAGTGACATGAAGATCTGGAATTTAATCTATGCTAAAGGCTTAATCTGAAAGCTAAAAAAGAATTCTTCCATGTCACACCTGGCCATTTTTTCACTTCTGTGGCCAGAAAACCTTTTTGGAAATAGAAGTTTGCAAATTAAATTAAATTTTCAGATTCATTTACATTTCTATGGCCCAAATATACAAGAAGAAATATACTGCTTAAACCTCAGAGTCATATTGTTGGTTTTGTTAGTACAACAAAGCACCAACATGCAGAGATTCCACAGTGCCTTTCAGAGAAGGATCTATGAGCTATGAAATCAGCTTCACTCAAGGACAATGGAAAATACATTGCAAAGCAGATTCAAGTGCCACTGACAGCACCCTTGGCATAAGGCTGACAGGGCCCACAGGACCAAAAGGCCTTTGCACCAACAGGACCAGCCCCTGTTGCACATCTGTTGCACGTCCTTGCTCCCTTTCAAAAGTTGCAGTTTCTGTGGAAATAAGAATTGTGCCATTGAAGATAGTGAGAAAGGTAAAAATATTCCCTAAAAACATATGGAACTAA